ATGATTGAGTTGCCCCCCTTGGAGTCCTGGACCTCCTCTTCTCGCCTCGGGGGGCGATCGATGGTCACCGCCTCCCCGCGCGCGTACCTTGTGCTTGACCTATTTTGGGCCCTCGGAGGCCTTGGAGCCATCTTCGGCCATCTCTTGTGCGCTCCAATGGGTCGCGCCCCCCCCTCCCAGGCCCAGGGGAGGGGGTAGGGGGAGGGGTCAAGACTACGTCCACGCCCGCAAGCCGTCTCGCTCACTCCCACCCGCCCTCCCAATACATACGTAGCACCCGAGTCTGACCCGAGCCTCAGCATATTCAGCACTCGTCTTTGGATGGGCAGCTACTGGGGGCCAATCCGCCGCCGCCGCCGCCGCCGTCGCGGCCGCCGCCCCCGCTGCCAAATCGCCGCCGCCGCAGCCGCTGCCGCCGCAGCCGCTGCCGCTGCCGCCCCCGCCGCCGCCGCCCCCGCCGCCGCCGCCGCCGCGCCGCAGCCGCCGCAGCCGCCGCCACCGCCACGTGTATTATGTATTTTTTGTTTTTTGACAGGGGTGGTGCGGGGAGGCCGCATCGTGTTGGCTGCACATGCTCCGAATTTGGAGGCAGAGTGTGTTTTGTATGGTTTTTACAGGAGCTGGTGGGGGGTGCCCTCATGGTTCCTGGTTGGCTACCAGTCGCCTGGGGGAGGGGGTGTATATTAATAGGGAACAGAGATCAAGACACCCCTCAGCATGTTCAGCGGTCGTTTTTTTGATGGGCAGCTACTGGGAACCAAAACCGAGCCCATGTGCGCGACGCTGGGGCGAGGTGCGCCACGCGTGCCAGGCGCGCCAGGCACCCCTGGTGCCCGAGCGTGCCAGGCGCGCTTGGTGCGCCAGATGCGCCACACTCCTCCGCGTGCGCCAGGTGTGCCGCATACTGCAGCCGCGCCAGGTGCGCCACGTTCGGGGCACGTGCAGAGTGCTTCAGGTGCGCCTGCGCACGTGACAGCAAAAGTCGGGAAACATTTCGGCCCCACCATCCTTGTCGATCACCACTGCCCATCATTGTGTCTAGTGGGCCTGCGCACAACAGGCCATACGCCACCACCCTCACCGTCCCTGTCAAAAACCACTTGGCAGTGATCGCTGGGTGGCCGCTCATTATCCAGATGTAGCCGTTGCATTTTTTTTGTGAGGGAGGGTAGCCCTGCGCACAGCGGGCAATATGCTGACACCCCTGCCGCTCCTGTCAAAAAACAATACAACGTGCCGGCGGGCCTCACGAGCATGACTCCAGACTCTGGCCCAAAGTGTATTTTTTATGGTTTTTGACGGATGGTGGGGGGGGCTGCATCGGGGCGGTTGCGCACGTTCCGAATTTGGAGGCTGACTGTGTTTCGTAGTGTTCTTTGACAAGGATGGTTGGGGGGGTGATCAGGGTGTCCTCATTGTTCCTGGTTGGCGGCCAGTCGCCTGAGGGAGGGGGTGTATATTAAAAGTGAGCAGTGATAACCCCTTCCCCCTAGCAGGTGAAGGAGGGATTTTGGCAGAGAGGAGACGCAAGTAGTGAAAGCGCCCACGCCCACCAAGAGGAGGGAAGCGTGCGGCGGAGGGAGGGCAGCGCTACCGCTGTGCGCCGCAGCGCGGCGCTTTGGGAGCCGGAGGCGCGGGCACCAGCGGCTTCCCTCTGCTCCAGGTCGTCGCCGTTGTCCTCTTCCTTTTTCGTCGGTCACGCGCAGAGGGGGGTCTGGGGGAGGGGGGGAGGGCTTCTTAGAAGGAGGCTGCTCCTTTCAGGCGATCGCAAACATGGATCAAGGGGGCGTGGATTAGCGACGGATGGGAAATCACGGATTTCCGCCGCCGAGCGAGGCGGCACGTACCGCATTTTGGGGAGGGCACCTCCCCCGATCCATGGATTTGGCGACCTCGCGCCAAATCCATGGATCGCTAATCCATGTTTGCGCGCCCCCGATCTTTGGAAGGCGCGGGCCTTGCCTGCAGATCTAGGGCGGGCGCCTTTGAGGAGCAGCCTCCTAGGAAGCCCCCTCCCTTCCCCACTGGCCCCTCGTGCGCGCCGCCAACTGTCGCCATGGAGGACAAGATCACGTTTTGGCCACAAGCGTCTACAGACACATTGGGTGCCGTTGCGTATGTAAGCGCGCTCGGGGTGGATACGTCTACAGACAACGCAGCCGATGCGTTCGGCGCAGTACATGGTCGGAGAAAGGGCAGAACAGTCTACGGCATGTTCCTGTTCTAAAGCAGGTTACACATGGTACTCCAACGTCGTCGTCGTCGTCGTCGTCGTCGTCGTCGTCGTGCGGCGGCGGCGGCGACGGCGTCGGTGTCAGCGTCGGCGTAGGGGTCGGCGTCGGCGTCGTCGTCGTCGTCGTCGTCGTCGTCGTCGTCGCGGCTTTCTTGTCTTTTTCCCTGAGGGTACGGGGGAAACACGTCCCAAAGTTTTTGCGTTTTTCCCCAGTGTCCACCCGCCCGCGAGTGCATGCCGAGATTTATTGTATTGGAGAGGCCTGACGGCCGGTGCCGCTGACCCTGATCGAAAGGGCTAGGAGTGGGGGGAGGAAGCGGAGGATGAGGAGGAGGATGAGGAGGAGGAGGAGGAGGAAGAGGAGGAGGAGGAGGAGGAGGAGGAGCAGGAGCAGGAGGAGGAGGAAGAGGAGGAGGAGGAGGAAGAAGAGGAGGAGGAGGAGGAGGAGGAAGTGCATCCTTTGTATGCCCGCTCGAAGAAAGTGCGCCCTGGGAGTGTGATATTCTGATTTGGGACATGCTCCCGGAAGAGGAAGCAGTGCACCTCGGGCGTGCCCGCTCGAGGAAAATGCGCCCTAGGGGACTAGGGGGGTGGTATTTTGACTTGGGGCCCGCTCCCGGGACGCCTCTGCGGGAGGAGGAGGAGGAGGAGGAGGAGGAGGAGGAGGAGGAGGAGGAGAGGAGCAGGAGGCGGCAGGAGGAGGAGGAGGAGGAGGAGAGGAGAAGGAGGAGAGGAGCAGGAGGAGGAGGAGGAGGAAAAGGAGGAGGAGGGGGACCAGGAGGAGGAGGAAGTGCATCCCGTGCGTGCCCGCTCGAGGAAAGTGCGCCCAGGCGGGCGTCGTATCTGCCCCTGGCTCCCCCCCCCCCTTCCCCCCCCCCCTCCCCACCCCTCTGCGGGGAAGGGATCAAAGGGAAGGGGCTTCCCTTCGACTCCACTACGACGTCGTATAATTTCGCTTTGGATAGCGCGCTTGAGGAGGAGAGCCCTGGGAGGGGGAGAACGGAGACGACGGAGACGACGAGTCGAACGGAGAAGTCCCTCACACACGCCGACAGGGTCGGCGGATCGTTGGAATGAACAATGATCCCCGTTCCGTCTTGGTGCTAGGGATAACGCTGCCCCAAGCAGGCGCGGGTGCTAGGGATGACAATGTCCACCGTCTGCACTGGGAAGAGGGGGCTGCCCTCCTCCTCTACAGTTCTCTGGAGCCTTTTGGGTGACTCTTGCCGCTACATTCAGTGGTCGCTCTGTGCTTCTCCGAGGGAAACAAGTCCTGGAGCTTCTGTTGGCGTATGGAGGAGGCTGGCGTCGTCGTCGTCGTGCTCCTCCTCGTCGTCGTCGTCGTCGTCGTCGTCGACGTCGTCGTCGTCGTCGTCGTCGTCGTCGTCGTCGTCGTCATCGGCGTCGTCATCGGCGTCGGCGTCGGCGTCGGCGTCGGCGTCGGCGTCGGCGTCGGCGGCGTCGCCGTCGTCGGCGTCGTCGCTTTCTTGGGTCCGAGGGAAACAAGTCCTGGAGTTCCTGTTGCAAGGGCGCCCTCGAGGGTGCGAAGCTATTCGCGCTTCGCGCTCCGCGGTTCGGCTCCGACTCCTTATCCTCTTCCTCTCCCCTGGGAGGCGGCGCGAGAGCGCGGAGCTGGGAGCCCTTGCTGCTGGCAGTGCTCGGGCCGCTCACGCCCTCCGGGGGCCCCAGGGCCGGTCCGAGCGAGCGCCAGGCATCCAGGCCCAAAAGCGGGTCCCGAGGGGGAGCGCCCCAGGGCCCAGGACCCGTTGCCCTCCGCCCTCCGCCCTCGTCCTCCTCGTCCTCTTACTTCTCCTCCTCGTCTTCCTCGTCCTCGTCCTCCTCGTCGTCCTCCTCCTCGTCCTCGTCCGCCTCCTCGTCCTCCTCCTCGTCCTCCTCCTCCTCCTCCTTCTCCTCTACCCGTCTCCCTTCTCGGGGGCGGCAAGGAGGGGTGATGACTTGGGGGGGACCTCATGGCGGGGGCCACGACACCTTCCCAGATTTCATGGCGCCTCTTCTTATTTCAATGCGCCCCTGGACCCCCACGGCTGCGCACATGCCGCTGGCCATGATTTGCGCCCCCCCCTTATTCAACGCCCCCCTCTTGGACGCCCCCGACCTTCCTCGGACGGGGCTAGGGCGATGACGAGGACGAGGACCACAACGACGAGGAGGAGGAGGAGGAGGACGACGACAACGACGACGGCGACGACGGCGATTCTCGGGCCTCGGGCCTCGGCCCTCGACCAACCGATCCTCGAACCCGCGACCCTCAACCAGCGCCTCGAGCCCTCGTCGAGCAGGGTTAGGACGAGGAGAACTACTCCAGAGCGTTCTGGAGCGCTCTCAGAGCGTTCCCGAACGCTCTGAGAAGGCCACCGCGCCCGAGGCATCCTCTGGAGCCGCCGGATCTCAGAGATTGGTAAGTTGTCCTCACCGATTTTACCCTCGTCCTGGCTTAGTCTTACTGCGTGCTGGTCCTCTTCTCAAACCGTGGCCCCCAGAGATCACGGAAGGACCACCACCTTCCTCCTTTGGAGTGCGAGCGTCCAGGCGCGGCTGTTCGGTTGTACCGGCCTCCTCGATTCTCCGCGCTCTTCGATTCTCCACCTCCATCCTCCTCGACCCCTCGCTCGATTTTCACTGCTCACTCATGCCGTGTAGCCGTCTTTTCAGTTGTTGCTCCTCGCAGAAAGAAAGAGAACAGACGGCGCAAGCATAAACTTTTGTCGCTCCGCGCGGGTTTCTTGGACCCCCGCCCCCCCCCCGCAGCCATTTTGGCTGAAGCGCGGCGCCGCTGGTCGGGCCCTTCCTCTCCCCCTCTGGCGCCGCCGTCGGAAGCCGGGCGCCCCCCCCCCCCCTCCGCCCGTGGGCGGCCAGGCCGCCCGGCGCAGGGAAGCAGCGTGGGCAGTGCGCGCGCAGTCCGGCAGCGGCGTGGGCGCGGGCATCCTCCACGCGAGGGTCGAGGCTTCTTTTTGGGGGCAGACGTCTGATATTTTTCGAAGCCTCATTGGAGGAAAGGTTCAGGTTCTCGTCCTGGGGAACTTCCTGGGCTAGCGGGTATGCTCGACTCCAGTTCGACTCTGATGAGCTCGACTCCAGCTCTATTCTAGCTCGACTCAAGTTCGATTCAAATGGACGGACGTTCGACGCAGCATCGGCGCATGGGTGGAGCCGAGTGGCTCCAGGAAGCGCATCGCAGGTTCCCGATACCACGGCTGGATTCCCTTCGAACTTTTGGTCAGAGCGCACAGTTGGAGAGGCCCAGAGAAGGCCCAGGGGCAGCCGAGCAGACCCCCCAGCCCAAACCTGCAGCGTCCTTGGCAGTGTCATGGCGTAGGTCTCTCCCAGTTTGCAGCCTTGGGTCTGGGCCCCCCCTGACCTGACCAACCCCACAAGAACGATCACGCCGACGACGGCGACCATGGTGCCGAGGACGATGCTGACCCCGACAACGCCGCCCACGACGACATCGCTGCCGACGACGACGACGACGACGACGACGACGGTGACGACGACAACGACGACGACCCCGATGGCGACGACGACGGCGACGATGACGACACCGACGACGCCGACGACCCCGACGCAGATGACGCGGCTGACGACGAAGACCACGACGACGACGGCGACGGCGTCGGCGGCGGCGGCGACGACGCCGACCCCGACAATGACATATTTGCGAAGAGACGACGAATGTGTTCGAGAATTCTGCGAATCGTTTAGTATGCGCGACCTCAGGAAGGGCGATTTGTGCTCGGGCTTGAGGGTGCGCCTCATGGACAGCACCGCCCAGACTATCCAGCCCCATTCCAGTGCCGACTTTGAACATCAGCACTCCCTCTGTGCCTGGACGAACAAATAGTGTTCTGTTTGAAGGCCCCACGGGTGGTGCCGTCTATTCGTAAATTGTTATGATAGCGCAGTGAGCCTTGAGAGCACAAGCCGTTATTATCGTAGTTGCAGTGCTATGACTGCTGGCCATGGTGGTTGTGGTGACGCTCGTGGCATGGGGAGACGTGGTGGCCGCGGTTGTAGCTGTGGCGCACGCGGCTGCAGCGGTGCCCATCGGTCGTGGAACGCTGGTATTTTGTACGTTCGGCGCCTTCCTACTGCAATTGTCGTACGGCTTTCCCTCTTCCCTCCTCCTCAGGGGGCGGGCAGACACTCAATCTGCAGTCCACCCGCATGGTACGGAAGGGCAGCCTTCCCAAGGGTACCCTTGCATCCTCGCCGCCTCGGCCCATCCCTGGCCGCTTCCGCTGGCCGCGCCCCGCCCGAGAAGAGCCTGGAAGTGGGCGCCCGAGGCCCCTGCCTCCTCGTCGCGCATCTCCTCACGATACGGGCCGACTCGTGCTTTCGCTTGGCATCGCTCGGACGTGTGCATTTTTCCTTCGGCGAGGACCATCGAGGAGCATCCTTGATCAGTTGGCGAAAAAAACACGCACGAAACCGAAAAAAGCACAGGGAATGGACGTCCGAGCGATGGCGAGTTCGGCGCCTTCCCGCTCCACGCTTCCACCCGCCCCTCTCGACCGCTGGGCGCGGCAGGCTCGTGCCGCCCCGCCGCCGCGGCGGCGCCACAGCGCGGGCGCGCCAAGTCGAGCGCCGCCTGGGTTTGCCGGGCACTCGGCCGACCTCGCGCGATCCCTGCGCGAGCGGGGCGCCGCGGTCGTTCCAGACCACCGCCGAGGTCGCCACGCCACGAGTCGAAGAGGGAACCACGCCACGCACACGAACTTTTGGCGCTCCGCGCGGATTTCTTGGGTCCGCGCTGGGCCCCCCCCCGCGGCGCCTTCCAGCAGCCCCGCCCCTTGCGCGCCTCCGCGCGCAGGGAGGGGGGTCCGCGCAGAGCCAAGAACTCCGCGCGGAGCGCCAAAAGTTGATGTTTGTTTTTTTTTCTTCCGAACCTGCCGTAGTCTTCCCCACCTCCCCCCCTCTGAAGGAGCGTTGGCGGCGAGGGGAGAGGTGCGCCGGGCCGGCCGAGCAGGCCGTCGGGGCAGATGTACGCGCGAGAGGACGTGAACGTGGCAAAGTTGCTGCAGCGGCTGCCGAAGGCAACCCAGGAGCAGGCGCGTCCCGCTGACCGGTGGCGGCCGGAAGGGAAGGGTCCAGATTGGCCACGCGCAGAGGGGGGTAGGAGGGGGGGGAAGGCTTCTGAGAAGCATCCCTGCTGATTAGAGCGCGCGGGCCTCATCTATAGATGTGAGGCCGGCCCGATCTAAGAAGCAGCCTCCTTCTACGAACCTTTCCCACCATCCCCCTACCCCCTTGTACGCGCCGTCAAAGGGCTCAGGGGCAACCGTGAGGGGGATAGGCTCAGGGGGAGATGCATCGACCCCGAATCAATCATTGATCGCCGATTGGGCTCCGATAGCCCCACCACGCCCAGGATCGTGCGGATGGGCTCTCGGGGCCTGTCGCCAATGTATCGGCGATGTACCGCCGATTCCAGGTCGGTGTTTCCCCCCTGTGCCATTCCCCCTATCGTTGCCCCTCAAAAGGACAGGGCCATTGAGTGCCGTTCGTGAGGCGTGGACCGGGTTTTTCCAGCGTCGACCCAAGGAATCCGCGCGGACCTCTGGGCACGTATTTTCTGCAATTTTCATTCTTGTCCTATTTCTCCTCATCCTCGTCGTCTTCTCCTCCTCCTCCTCATCCTCGTCCTCCGCATCCTCGTCCTCCTCGTCCTCATCCTTCCTCCTCCTCCTCCTCACACTCCTCACCCTCTTCCTCCTCGTCCTCCTCGTTGTCCCCTCTCGCGGCGACCACGTGCCCTCGCAAGAGGCCGCCTTTGCCTCAGTTGCCGGCAGGAGACGTGGGCTGGAGCCCTCGCGTAGTGATGAGGCCGCCAGGCCTTCTGTGTTGGCGAGTTCATCGGGATAGACCTTCGGGCGGGATCCTGTCTCCTCGTCCTCCTACTCGTCCTCTTCGTCGTGGTCATCCTCTTCCTCCCCCTCTTCCTCAGGAAGACTGGAGCCGCCTGAGCGCTTGGAACACGCTGCGCAAAGCGAGTTCTAGGCCTCGCCCTAGCCACAGGTTCGATAGCTAGTGGCGGAGTCGACGACGGTGAACTCTCTCAGAGGTGTTGTGCTCCACATCGTCCCAACACTGACGCCACGCCCGTGACGCTGTTCTGTGCACCAGTAGCGTTAGTGTGGACGTCGTAAACTAGTCCTCTTCTTCGTGGTCCTCCTCCTCCTCCTCCTCCTCCTCCTCCTCCTCCTCCTCCTCCTCCTCCTCCCCCTCCTCGTCCTCCACCTCCTTTCCTCCCCTCCAACTTCTGGTGGTGGCGTCGGAAAACGAGCCCATCGGTCCAGGCCTCCCAGGGGGGGTCCGAGCAGCTGGGGTCGGAGGACCGCGCCGCGTCGCCGATGCAGCGGCGATCCGCCCCGGTGTGGAGCCCGACTTTCTGCGCGCCGACGGCGCCGATGTATCGCCGACGTCGCCGGTGCATCGGCGACGTGGCGCGGTCCTCAGACCCCGGACCCCCCAGCCGGGAGGCCTCTACGTTGGCCGCGCGCACGGGGGGGCGGTGAGAGGGGGACGGTCTTCTGGGAATGCCTTGGGGGGCTTTACGAAGGCAGCGGGCTCTTCAGCAGCCATGCTGGCTTCTGCGAAGGCCTCTCTGAGGCATCCGGTTCCCTCTTCGAGTAGGGGATCGACTACAGACTTGATTTACCCCAGAGTTGATTCGCCTTGTCGAATATCCATGGGAGATGCTTAGAGCCTCTGTGGATCCACGAACCTTCTACGTATGGTTTCGTAGACTCGACGTGAAGACCAAGCTTGAGAGAAATCAACTCTGTAGTCGGTCCCCTAGTCGACCTTGGACAGGGCCCCTGCCCTCCAAGACGCCCCCCGCCGCCTCGGAGGGCCGCCACTCTCGCGCCGCCCTCCGCGCGTGCGCCGCCTAGGCTGGAACCCCCAGACATGCGCACAGCAGGCTCGTGCCGTGGTCAGGGTAAGCGCTTTCGCGCCTCCTGACACTCCAGCCGAGCCTGTCCGCCTGGCACACGTGTGCTCCGAGGCTGCGCAGATAACAATAATACTAATGCTAACATTTGTATATTTATAATATTAATAGTACTAATGGTAATGCTATAATGATAATGATAATAATAGATGGTAATAATAATATTAATAATGGTAATACTAGATAATGATACCAATAGTAGTAGACACAGACCCTGTTCCGACCAGGCCCGGTTCCGACCCGCCCGGTTCCGCCGACGCCCGGTTCCGACCCGCCAAGTTCCGACTAGGCCCGGTTCCGACCAGGCCCGGTTCCGACCAAGCCCGGTTCCGACCCGCCCGGTTCGGACCCGCCCGGTTCCGCCCCGGCCCGGTTCCGCCGCCAGAGGGGCGCGCAGTCCCGGCGCCTGCTTGAATCACCACCCTGCTTGTTATGCAGGATGTGTGGTTATAAGAGGATAGCGGGGCGGTTAGCAGGATAGCTAACCAGGTTAGTAAGTAGGTTAGTGGCAGAGGTTGGGGGGGTTAGTAAGTAGGTTAGCTAACCTGGTTAGCAACTCGGCTAAACTGATTAGCTGGATCTGTTTTTTTGGATTTGGACTTCGATTTCGCGGATCCTGGACTGAGGTTCTGTGGATCCTCAACGAAGAATATAAACCTCATCCTCCTTATCCTCCTCCTGCTTCTCCTCCCTTTTCTTGTCACTGTCGGCCGACTGGCGTAAGCCACTTGAATATAAATAGTATCAGAAGCGATGGTTTGATTCTAAATATTCGAGATTCCCATCATCTTAAGCGTTTTTTTCAACATGCAATCGTTGGGATGGGTATCGGATGTTGTGAAACGCACCCGTGTACGTCGGCTCTTTCTTATATTGACTGCGGACCAACGTGGATGCTCAAGTCACTGCTCAGCTGCTCTGCCGTGGCGCCCCGCAAGTAAAACGGGCGCGAGCGCGCAGGATAGCGAACGCAAAAGAAGTTCCGACTTCGACGCCACCGCGCAATACTGAAACCCTGCGAGGTCGGTCGAGCCTCATCAAACAAGGAGGAGGAGGAGGAGGAGGAGGAGGAGGAGGAGGAGGAGAGGGAGGAGGAGGAGGAGGAGGAGGAGGAGGAGGAGGAGGAGGACGAGGACAGAGGACGAGGACGAGAACGACGGACGACGACGACGAGAGGATAGATGAGGAGATGGAGCACAGGGAGGGATGGGAGGGGAGAGGAAGGAGCAAGGGAGGAGTGGGGAGGACTTGGAGGAGGGTTGAAACGGAACAAATCTAGATGCCAGCTGGGCGAGCCTCTAGTGTTCTTGCTCCTACTGTATCCTCGGCCTGGTCGGCCGCATCCTCGTGGTCCTCCTCCTCCTCCTCCTCCTCCTCCTCCTCATCATCATCATCATCATCATCATCATCATTGCCCTCCTCATCTACGTCCCCCCTCCCCCTCCCCATTGGCTCAACTTATTTCGACGCTCGCTGCCTCAGCCTTTGGGCAAACAGCACAGTCGTGACATCACCAGTGTCCCTGACCCTAAAAACGCACGGCTCGATTATCTTCGAGGCCAGGACCAGCTGGGGGTCATCGCACACCACACATCGTGCGGCTGTTTCAAGGACAGCAGCGGTGCGCCACACGGAAATCAAGCTGTACACCGTGCCGTCAATCGACATATGAATGTACACCTGTCCAAAAGCGATCCCGTCTGGCGAGTGAAACGAAACCACATCGCCTATCAAAACGGCCCTGCAGTGCGCGTGGATAGACTTGGAGCTCACAATGGCGCAGCTCGGGTCCAAGCCAAACTCGGAAATCAAAGTTGCCCTGAGTTTCTTGCTGGTTGCTTTCGGCGCCAGCATCTGTTCACCAACCACGGGGTGATACTCTAAGTCGTACAAGTGGTGTGTCGGGATCTCCTGCATCACGCCGAAATCGTACTGCGTTGTGTTTTTCCGATCGTTCATCAGCCTCTTGGCCACCCTATGTTTCCGTTCCATGAGAAAACAACTTACCAGGCAGCCCTGGAGGAGGAGTTGCCTGGGCAGGTGCAAGATCCAATGATCTTTTGGTTTCCACAGGTCGGTGGAGTACGCCCGCCTGTGTTTGCAGAGGTGGTCGCAGACTGCCGATGCGAGATCATTGGGCGATACCAAGCCTGAGTTCACCATCGAGAGCATGTTTAAAACTGCACGCAGTGACACGCAACTCTCGCATTCGCGAGGCAGGAGCTTCAGAGGGGACACCTTCTCTTTCACGAACTAGTCCAGGACGCATGAGAGACTAATCATATCCGACGCGCTTCCTGTGAGCTCACCCTTTGAAAAGCAAGCATTTGCGGACCCATAGCCTCTGGGCCATTGCCACTCCTGCAGGAAGCTGTGGATCTCCGCTGGGCCAACGCCTTGTTTCAACACCTTCAGGCGGTCTCCGAACTCCGAAACTTCTCGCTGGAACAACCCGCCAACAATGTAGCAGTGCATCCAATCCCGCGCGACAGCCGAGGGGGCGTCTATATTCAATGAAGCGTCTTGGAGCAACGATCCAGGATTGTAGATATATCCACAAAGTATCTATGTTTTTTTAAGCTGTCCAACGAACCCAGTCTCAGCCAACTCTTTCAACCTCGCCTGAAGACCTTGCAGCTCCAAGCTTGTATATAATTTGAACTTGCTGACGTCGAGGCAATGCGCAGACACCCAGAAGCCGCTAGGGTCCCTCAAGAGGTTCGATGAAGGTTCCACAACATTGCTACACAACATGCACACCATTATCCCAGTAGCTCCTTTGAGGTACATTGCATATTTATGTGCTCTTTCGTCCTGAATAAGGATCCCAAGCTGCCCGTGCATCAACACTGGCCTACCGTCCAGTGAAAACGCGACGCCATGGCGGAGGTCTGGTTTCAAAGGCTGGCCGAAGAACAAATGGAGCGCAGCTTTCATGACTGCCGACAGCCCCCCTTCAATCTTGTCGCATACGCACGAGCGGACCGTGCAAATCGTGAACCAGAGCAGCTCGTTGCTGAGGCCTGGCCAACCTGAGGGCGCGAACATGACAACCAACCCCCAAAAAAACTCGCACGCCATTCCCTCCCTCGAAGC